TACTCCGGAATATCACGGAATTTCTGCAGATATAACGATGTAACAGTGTCGCTCACATTTCCAAACATACGAAACAGATAGAAGATGAAAGACCTAAGGCAGTGGAAACGAACCAATAAAGAAAAAGTACTCACTTGGAAATGAAGAAAAATTCAAGGCCATGAAAGTAAACAAGAACAGAATAACAAACAAGGCCAGATTCGAGTCAGTATCAAAAAACAGCGGAGTTATAGGCAAGTACTACAGTAAGACGGAACTCCGACAGAAAGGAGAGTACGTGAGTAACACACACAAAATCATTAGATATGATGAAAGTAGCTCCAGATTGAAGGCATGTTGGAAATCGACGACGATAAGGACAACACAAAGAGCGACTGCGGGAGATCCTGAGGATAAATGATGAGTACACTGCACGGATAGGGAAAGTGGCGGAGAAGGACTGGGAACAAAGGGTATAAATACTGAGGATAGTGGCTGAAATGATTACCTGAGTAGTGAGGTAGAAGGGTAATCGTGACTGGTGTCACATGCCATGGACATTACGTGTATGCTGTGAAAGTAAAACCTCGAACGTTCTGTCTACATTTGCATGTGTTTATCTCTATGCACGGTGCTTAGAACTTGCGGGCGGTACCCTCGATGATTGACACTGTATAGACCTGTCACTCTTCCATTTTACATTCACTCTCTTTATCTCTCTTTCATCATTCTTAACCCTTTTCTTTCATGATATCAGTGTGGCGATTTGTTGGAGATTACTATAGCGTGGAGATTACTCAGCGATTTTTGAAGATTCTATTTTACTTATCTGGTGTGTACTGAAGACGATCAACGACGTTGTGGGGTTTTTTATCGATTTCAAGTAGTACGAAGACTACCTACCTTACGTTTCCAAGCTTCAAGGAAGATGTCGCGTTCGCGATCATCGTCGGACAGGAGGCGGCACAGACACTCATCATCATCTTTCGGATCTCATGGGAGGAAGCACTCAAGAAGGGGGAGATCGAAAACTCCGAGAGATAAAAGACATAAGTCAAGATCACCATCGTCACGGAGAAGAAGGGCGGAGTCAGAATCTCCAAGGTGGTTCTCGAGACCATTGTGGGAGTAAAGACGGAATGATTTCCCCCAACCGGGAAATAGAGCGTGGTTTACGGCGGATCTAAAAGAAGAAATTTTTAAGCTCTGCCGTAAGATGGACAAAGTTCTCAAGACACTGGAGCAACTCACACGAAAGACAAGTGAAAAGCAGCCAGCTCCTCCGAACAAGGAAGACACCTCAAAGAAGCCTGAGCTAACTCCGGACGTGCTCAAGTCCATGATTGATGAAGCATTGAAGCCGACAGAGATGAACCAAGGGGGACAGAATCAAGCTGGCGAGAAGAGATGGACTGGACACATAAACTTGGCCAAGAATCCAAATAGAGGAGCACAGCGGAAACTATGCAGTTGGTTGCACTTCAGTACATGGTAGCCGCAGCATTCCAAGCCAAAGCATGCCAAGCAGAAGCGCACCGAACAAAAGCAGATTGGGACGTGTAATCCCTCCACACCCCAAGAGAGGATGAACGAAGATTAATCGCAATGTGTCGGCAGCGAAGTCGAAGGCAAAACGGAGCATTAATTTCGGGGTCAAACCGATGACAGACATACAGCTCCTTCGTCGTCTCTACACGGACCTGAAGGTCTTATGCAAGATGCATGGCATCAGGTACAAGGACAAGCCGCAAGCGATCTCGGCATTGAGGCAAGTTCCTGGATTGATCGCCTACAAGGGGCGGGACTTCAACCGGGATTCTGATCTTGAAACACAGATCATGCCAGATCCAGATAACATCAGAGTGTCCAATACAACTGGCGGCGACACAACTGAGGATGATTACGAGAGTCTTAGTACAAGATCAATGGGAGTGATGAGTATGACTCATCTGACACATCTTCGAGCGCCGAAGATCTGTCGGGAGGGTAGAAGACACCTCAGCATCAGGCGACATCACCACGACACAGAAGTGGGAGCAGATACACAGGCTATCAACGAAAATTGAGCAACCAGTTAGTACAAGGAGTTTCACCTTGGTGTAGACATATGTACGTAGGGAGGACAGGAAGACAGCCCGACAAGAGATGGACTGAACACATAAACTTGGCCAAGAATCCAAATAGAGGAGCACAGCGGAAACTATACAGTTGGCTGCACAAATTTCATTGGGAGAAATATGTTCAGATACCCATTTGGACGGGAGCGAGATCAAAGGTGATAGGGATGGAAGCAACACCGATTAGGAGACTGAATCCATTCTTGAATACAAGGGGAAAAGGCAGAAAGACTCGACAAAATCGAAGACGGAGAAGGAGAAAGAGGAAGAAGAATGGAAACAGTGAGGTGAATCAGAATATACCTGTTTTGTTTAAATCGGTTCGATCGGGTTAGACTACGAAGTTAACATCAATACTTCAACCGAAAGCAATGATTTACTGCACAGCTGAAAAAATATGGAATGAAAAATGGAAAGTAATTAAACGAACATTCGGATCAACAATTGTGAAAATTGACAACACAAAGTTTCAGCTAAAAAAATGCAAAAAACGAATCGAAAATGAATGTATCTCTTATGTGATCCAACTGATGCATACGGGACCGAAAACAAACAACATACAAATATTCTTATTAACTGCTTGAGAGCACCATGGAGACAGAGGGAACTGTATAAATTATCGTTAGATTATATACTGATTCTTCTGTCAAAGGTGGGATCGATTACAAGAAAGAAGTAAAGACGAACAATTAAAGACATCTTCATACGAATTTCAAAGAAGGAGTTTGCATTCAATATCAAGAGAAGGTTGATATTTAAGATTTCATTTGATGCGTGCATTAATCTGAAGCAAGTGAGAAGCACAACAACCGAGTCTATCTTGGAAAACGTAAGTAATAACAATTTGGTAAACTATTT